ATATATATATGTGTGTGTGGGGGGTAGGTGGGGTGGGAGTGTGTGTGCATTATGTTTTATTTTATTGTTGTATGTATAACATTGTTTTGAAGTTGCTCTGATAACAATAAAGGTAATTTTACATTATAAAAATGTTTTACTTTCAAAATGGCAGCCATCTTGGAATTTTTTGTGATGACGTCATCATTCCGAATAATTTTTTTTACGAGAGTGAAGAGTAACTATTTAGCCAAGTTCAAGTTACATTTGATATACATAGCATTTATTTCCCCTACCCCCATCTTAATTAGTCCAAAATAGGATATTTTATGTCAAAATTTCAAAGTGCTATAAAAAAAGTTGCCCAAGCTCTAAGAATGGGGATTTTTTTTCTGAGACACTATATGATATACTGATTCAGAAAAACCAAAAATAAATTTTCCTTTACTTCTTTCCCGCTAATTTCCTACTGCACCCAGTCTAAAGTACCTGTATATGGTATTTAGTTTACATTATAGACGCCTGAGCTTACCGGGGCTTTCCCCTTTGCCCCACCAAGGTTTGGGCCTCCTACTACCCAAGACTTCCTTTTTTGCAATTTCACCCCCCCCCCCCTTATTTTCCACAACTGATCGACGCCCTTGATAAACAAATGAGTAGTGTAGACTAGAAATTAATTGCCAAATGTGTATTTTTATTGTTTTCAACTGAATCAGAACGAGGAACCATCTCTGTCAATGAGGCCTACCGGATTATATAGTGATTTTTTAAAAAATAAATGTCCTTAAATCATTGAAAGTTAGGGTACAATATCTGACATAAAAAGTTGATAAGTTGTTCTCAGAGCTTCGAAATTGGTTCTTGTTGTTGGAGAGTACGTTTAGCTTCAGGATGTTTCGAAATTTTAAAATGTTATTCGTTTTAGAATATCATTCCTGATGATGACATAATTAATGTCGAAATATTGAATCCCAACACGATGGCGTGTATTTCAATACTTGGAGTATGTATTATACTTTCTTATCTGAGATTAATCAGTGGACATTTCGGTTAACTATATCGCAAATGATATTTTGTTATACTGTACTTAATTGTGTACAGTGATGCAAAATCCAATAAATATATTGTAAAAGTGCAGCCACCGTAGTTAAACGATAATATTTTACGAAAAACACCCCATGAAGATGAATTCCAATATGTATCTAAGTGAATATACTGTATAAGCCTATATCTTAATAAAGATCTGAAGATAGTGATGCCACCTATCCCCGCACCTATCATGATTCCGGTTCGTATGCCATAACATTCTGACAGAAAAAGTATTCTGTAGTAAAACGGTTCCACATCATTGAACACTGTGATTTTTTAATGATAAATTAATTTAATTAAAACGTGTTATATTTTTATTTTTGTTTTGTTCTTATTTGATTGGGTGGCAGTATTGCGAATGCGCACACGCTGCACAACAACTCACGTTCGAGTTTTGGTACACGCTCGAGTTTGTACACATTTCGCGTGATGGTCACGTTCGAGTTCGTGTGGACGTTTAATCTGGCCTACTTTTTTTTTATCATTCACTCATTATTTTTTAGGCTAAAATCAGTAGTGGTCAATTGTCAGTTAAAAATCTATATTCCTGTTTGAACTGCCCCTTGTACAGTAATAAAAACCAACAGCGTTGGGTTCTTCTACACGTTCCAGGTGGCCTGAAGTGGTCCGATCGCAGCAAGGCAAGAGGAGGAAGGAAGCAAAGTAAGCTGTATGTATGTAGGCCCTAATCCTAGGCTAGAGGAAGGAAGTAGAAACTGTCTGGCATAGCTGTATAGCCTAGGCCTAGCTCCGTTCTAGGCTAATCGAGACGGTTTTCCATTCTTTACAATGTTATCTACACTAGTATTGATTCTCTAGCTTTAGTAATAAGATACAGTTAATAAATGATTGATCAAATCATGATTCATTTCATGCCTACTTAGTACTGTAGTTAGTAGGCCTAGCAGGGCCTGGCTTAGGGGCGCTAATACGGTTTCGCATCCGGCCGTAAAATTAATTACTAATTATTTAACACTTACAATTATTCAATACTAATATACATTCCTTGATGATTTGGCTTTCCAATAATCCACTAATTATCCAATAATTATGGTTTCTCATTAAGTAAGTTAATTATTACAATACTACAAAACACACCAAAAAAATAAAAAATAAAATTTGTAAATTGAAAAAAAATAAATAAAAAAAATAAAGAAATAAAAATAAATAAATAAATAAAATAAACAAAACAATACAAGTTACAAAAGTACATACAACAAAGTTTCCGCAATAATTGTTCACAAAAATTACAATTAGGTACAAATTATATGACAGACATTGACCATGATGCAGCAGAGCAGAGTTTATTGTGTTGAGCGATCGGGTGTTACTATCGATATATACAGTACCGTCCTAATTATTGGTTAATTAACTTAATTTGGGGACCATAATTGTGGAATAATAAGTGGCCTATATGAAACCAAATCATCAAAGAACATGTTAGTGTTGAATAATTGTAATTTATAAATAATTTGGTAACTGTTTTCAGGGCTGGATGTGAAACTGTATTAGTGCCGGCCTAGGCGCTAGGCCCTGCATAAAAATTTAACAAATCAAATGAACAGGTACGGTCCAGCCAGAGGGGGTGGTGGTGGGGGAGATGGCGTGGTTGGAGTTTATTTCTATTCCACACTGCTCATTGCAGGACTGGATTGGTGCAGCGGCTGCAATTGTGCACTCTGAACTTAGGTTGAGGTCTTTGCTGCGCAATTTCTGTGGCATGTTTATTGTTAATATTTTAGTATGATATTTGTTCTATTTAATAAGTTCTCAAAAGATGTTTTGCTACCTTCCATTGAAAAGATGATAATCATTGAACTCTGACATTTCCCCTTTGCTGAGGCCAGTATGTTGCATCGTTTATTTGCAGATAAATGGAAGATGGGTCGTTTGTGTTGTCCTTGTTTGAACATTAGTATACATTTCAAGGGAAGCGATTGGGAAGCCGCGGATATCAGCAAGTTTAATGTTAGCAGTGAGCATCTGCAGCACCCGTTCTTTGAGCAAGGTGTTGCTCTTGTCCAGCTCGACCTCGCTGGTATATCTCAGGTTTGTGTTTTACGACATATTCAGAGAGTTAGGAGTCATGCATTTCATAACTGTATTAGAGTGGAATATACTCTCTATTCTATAAAATGGTCATAATAAATGAAACCTAAAAAAGAAGGTTGCAATCATGTACCCTGCACCTGTGCCATATTCTTTACATTTTCTCATTTCTGCCCCAACCATGGTGGAGCTTATGTGGTGTGGGCTTCCCTTGTGTAGAGGTCTGAAAATTCTGAACATTTCTTATAGGTATTGGAGGCAAAGGCTGCAGAACCCCCTTCCCTAAACATCATTTCCAAGCATAAAAAAAACAAATTTTCAGGGAGAAACCTGGACCTCCTGTCTAAACTTTGTCTTCCACGACATAACAACCACACATTACACTCAAAGACCCAACCACTGCCTTTCAGGCCTCTTACTCCTCCCGTTGGGACAATTTCCATGTCACTACTGCCCTAGACTTGGGATGCTACTGTAATGTGGTTTTTTGAAAAAATAATGTGTAGATTATAAATTAATTGATAAATAAAATTTTATGTGCGTTTAATTAATTGCTTTATGCATAATAAATTCACCAATAAATGAACAAAGACAGAAAAAAAAATCAAAAAATATTATATTTAATTTTTCAGTAAATAAATTGTGTACATTTGCAAAAATATAATAAATTTCATAGTTTGACATTTACTAAAAACTATAAATGCAATAAGAGTATTGAGAATTATTTAGCAAAATGCTTAGTGATTGCTTACACATCACATATTCTGTATTTTTAGCAACAAGAAAAGTTAGTGCAAGAGTTTAAGTTAGGTCAGTGGCATGTCCACAAATGTGAGAACTGTAACCTTGGTGTGTATGCAACGAGTAATGCTAAGGACATAGTACTAGTCAGCCTGACTTTACTTGTAAGTATTTTTTAAATTAAAAACTATTGAGTTCAGTTCTTATTAGATGTTTTTTATATAGAGACATAATGAGAGACAGTTTGTTAATTTTCATAAATGATTGTTGTTTCTGGTCAATTGGGTCTTGGAAATGACATCATGATAACAGTAATAAAAAAAAAAACAATTTACATTTACCTGCCACTATCTTTGACTGAAACGTATTTTTGTTTTATTTTTGTAAAAAAAAAAAAATTGTAAAATTTATTTACCTATAAGCCAGATGGAACTATTTTTTCTCAGAGTAACAGTACAGTCATTGAAGAGCTATACCAGTCACCTGATTATTCCCCTCAATATCACATTTTACTGACGGAAAAAACTAACAAACATGGTGCAACTTCATTATGTAAGTTTTACTCTGATTTTATTAATGTCTGCTTAAAAAAAGAGAAATTAATTTCTCATCTGTACTTCCATTAATTTTTTCTTATTTTTTTTTTTTTTATAGATTTCATTAATTTTTAGTACATGCATAATGAATTGCTTAAGTTGAGTGGTGTCCTAAAAATTATTCTAGACTTTCCTGTCCTGCATGAATCTATTTTTATTTTCTATTTCTAGACCAGTTCTTGTTTAATGACATCAGTGAGGACATACAGTTGACTTCTAGTATTTGTATAAATGTTTGTTTATTAAGGTTTATTAATGTTAATTTTCTTTCAGTGTATCCAACTACCAGTCAACATGATGTAATGAAGACTACAGTTAATGAACTTCAGGAGAATCTTATGCATTACATGAAGAAGGAAAAAATTCTGATGGAAGATAGAATAAGGTAAGTTTAGACCCTGTCCAGACTATCAAATTCTAGTTGACAAAAACATGTGATATACTATTACTAAATATGGTATGATGATATGACACCATGATCATATATACAGGGCTTGAAAAAGTGTGCGACTGGCAGTTGGAGGCATTGACCTTTAACCCGGAGACATCTTAGAAATTTATTTTTTATTTTTTATTTTATTTTCTTTTTTTACTACTGTTTGTTTTTGTGCTACTGTTTAGCTATAATCAAGATAATTTTCATGGTTGGAGGGACAAAAATATGTTTTTTCCAGTCCTGCATATGTAGGCACATCATGACTATATTATGGGCATACAACAGTTTTTTTGTCTAAACAAGCAAATTTGTTCAGAATTTCAATATTGTATTTTATCATCATTGTAAAAAAGTTTTAGGGTGATAGTAATTTTTCCCCCGACAAAAAATGAACTGTCCTTCAAATTTATGTTATATGGAGTTTAAACCTTTTCGGACCAGTGGTATTAAGTAGAAGAGGGAAAAAAAATTGTTTCAGTGTAGATAGTTTTTTTTATATCTACACTGAAATTCCTGGTTATAAGTATGTTTTTTATTAGTAGTATTATTATTGATACAGTATTTTATATTGAGTTGTAGTAATTATTTTGTTTGAGTAAGCCTCAGGAAACGAAATCGCATGTGAACTAAGTTGTACAGTTGACCTTGTAACTGATCTAAATTATATTTAAGGAATTTACACAAAGGCTAAATTCTTCAATTCTGAACGTTGTGTCTGCATATGTACTTACTATCATCGTGCTGCTTTACTGTGTACAATTTCACTAAAAATTCCTACCGATGCACAGATTTTGGTTGGTCCTAATGCACCCGAAGAGCTGGGCAATTATACCCAGTTTTAAATCTTAATCTTCTATCTGGTTCTTGAACCTGAAGCCCCATTTCCAGCAAAACTTCACTAAAAAAGATTTTTTTACAAAAAGCGCATGCATCACTCTAATTATTATAAACCATGGAAAAATGATTGGCATAAATTTTAGTTTTAGCAAAAGAATAAAAAAAATGAGTAATACAGAATATCATTACCATTACCATTTTCTCGATTTTTCGTTACTAGGCAAATTCAGAGGTTGTAGATCGCATCCCCTGGAATGCTCTCGCTTTTATGTATACTTAAGTCAGTAAAGTGCGCCCTTTCTGAAGAGATTTGTTTTTGTACTTCGCATCTCGCACACATGTGGTCGATCGAGTAGGCCTGAGATATGTTTGTTTAATTGTCAAAATATCGGTCAGGATCATTTTTTTTCAAAACTGGGGGAATAAGGTGTAAAAATGGGCAGTTACGCCCCTTTACCCCCCAGTTTTTAAATATTAAAAAATCTGTATCTCATTCACCGTTCCCCAGTTTTTCATCAAACAACTTTTTTCTGTCTTAGAAAAATCAGTTCTACAACATATCAAAATTTTTTTTCCCTCCGGAGCCTGACTTTAACAAATTTGAAATAATTCCTATGAAATATTATATTTCACAATACTAGCAACAGAAAATATCATGTCGGCCGTTTTTATGTAGCAGTCTTGGATAGGCTAATTTTTCCGGCACCTGCTATATTTCTTTATAGACCTATCGCAAAATCAAACATAAACAATTCATCCTCATAATTTTTTTGTGTGAAACACAAAAAAAAAAAATCAAATGTCAGTCTTATTTTACATTTTTGTCAGTTTTAGGAATGTCTAAATTCAGTTAAACTAGCAATTTTGTATTATATTTATAAAACATACAGTATATAAAAATCAGATTTTTTTCTGGGAATGGGGCTTTAAGTGTGTAGATAATGAATACTTATATTTTGGCTCCAGGAATGGGGCTTTAATTGTGTAGATAATGAATACTTATATTTTGGCTCCAGGAATGGGGCTTTAATTGTGTAGATAACGAATACTTCCATTTTGGCTCCTTACAGGAAATACACAGAAGAGCAGCAGGCAAGCTATGCCGACATTCAGAAGCGAGCTTACAGGGACAAAAACCTAATGGTTGGGTGAGATACATACAATATTATAGTTTAATATGTTTTTGTTAGTGTTATAAGCAGGGGTCAGTGTGTTGGTATGTCTTTGTATTTGAGGATGCTCTGCTATGTAATTAAATATAAGCATTAAGTTACCACTAGCAAGAGTTTTTGTTTTCCTGTAGCGATAGGCTAGGCCGATCCATTCACAGTTAATAATCTCCCTCTTCTTAGCTTCCTAATATATAAATAAATAAATAAATAAAATAAATAAATAAATAAATATAAAATATAAAAATACAATTTACAATACACATAAACCAAGAAAAAAAACCCATTTTGTTTATTTTGTTTGTAATCTAATCTTAATACTCGCACCACCATAGAGAGCAGCTTAGCTCAGTCGGCTAATCTGGTGGTAGCCACTGTGTTTGCGCTGAACTGTGGAGCGAGAGGGCTGAAATACAAGTTACAATAGCGCACCATCTTTCGGATGAGACCTTTAAGCCGTTGGTCCCCTGTGCATCTATGGCTCTTGTGCACGTTAAAGAATGCAGTACACTCTTCAGAAAAGAGTAGGGGATTGTCTCCCGGTGTACTGTACAATCACCACCAGAAGGACCCCACTGGAAATAAGTCTTATTCTAGACTTTCGTGGGCTATCCTTGGTGGTTACACCGAATAAATCCAATCCAATCCAACCTTAGATGGAACTGACGTGTGTGGGGGACAGCAATGGAGCCATCAGTAGAGGAGTGCCCTTTTCTATTTGGACTTACCTATAGAAAATAAAAAGCCTCGTAGAATTAAACAATAAAAAGGGCTATGATACTACTGTGGAGCAATTATTTATAGTTACTATTGTTGACATTTCTTTTTCTGAAGTAGTAAGCCAACCAAATTACTAACTATATTTACACTTTACATAATGTCTATGCTGTACCCGGACATGGGATGCAGAGCTCAGATAGATATCCAGTCTGGGTAAATAAAGTCCAAAGTTCATTTGTAATTGCTTTTGTGCAACTCGTGACTCAATCAGATGATATCAGGCCTAATTGGAATAAACACAATTGAAAACAACTCTTGTTTACAGCTGACACCAGTTGTGCTATTACCTACCATACCTAGAAATTAACACTTTAAATTGAAGTCAATGAAACTTTCATAGTAAGTAGTCCACTGTCTAGTTTCCACTTGATTTTCCTGTTTTGACAGTTTCCAGATATTTTCACCAGGTACTCACCCTTCAACCTTTTTTTTTTTTTTCAAATTTTTATATTTTCTTGACAGATTGCATTATGCTCCAGTGTTCTTCCAATCGAAAAATGTTTACTAGTAAATTGGTCCATAAAAATTCAGCAATGCGCGGAGTGCGAGACGTTACTCCTTTTGAACTTGAAGATACAATAACACATATTCATAGCCTAGGCATAGACTGGAATGATGTTAATTTATTGAACGAGGGCCAGCCTAGACTACCTACGCCTAATCACTAGTTTTTTTAATTTACAAACTCAAAATTTTTACTTGTTAGCCAGTTGTTTTTACTGGTAAAGTTCACAGCTAAAAAAGCTTTGGGAGAATACTGTGCATTTAAAATTGTTTTTCAAAGATTGGCAAAATGCAATTCCAGGCATCTAGCAACCAGAAAAAATGGTTATTTAACCAGAGTTTCAACTGTATTTAAATTTCCATGATGGAAATGTATGATTGTATGATGATTTATACTGGTTCCAATGCCACTCATACTTATGTCAGGGGTTCCTAGTTTGAAGAAGCCTCTTCCAGAAGATTTGTTTAATTGAGCTTCCTTAACACATCTACTTTAACTGTGCTGTGCATGGTAGTACGGTGTAGTAGAAAGATCTTAAAATGCGCACTCCACCAAAAAATACTTGGAGGCCCAGTCGACTTTTCCAAAAATCATTCTCAAGTGGTTAAAAATCACTTCAAACTACGTTATTTTGTGAACTAGTGCGCCCTCCCCCCCCCCCCTAGTGCGCCCTCCCCCCCCCCCCAACCTATCATTCCCATTCGCCCCCTCAACCACTCCACTTCTAGACTCCTAGACAGGCCGTTACTCCTGCGACCTTCAAGAGACTTGGGACCCCTGTTATGTTGATAATTTTTTTTTCTAGATTGTTGCTGGAAATAGAAGAGAGGAATCTAGTAAATTCTTTGTCTGATGCCATGATTGAAGGTAGTATCCCTACATGCAATTCAAGTAGCTCCAAGTCAACGTCAATCAGAGGTAAGTTCTGAGTCAATTATCTAAACTGTATTATCAAACCATGGGGTTAAGCGTTGAGTTCGACATCAAACTGTAAGTATCAAACAAACTCTGAAGAGGCGTTACAAATGACCTTGATTAAATGTTTCAAACTGCCTGAATACAGACAGCAGAATACAAAAATCTTTATTGTCCATGCAGAAATTTGTTTTGTTGACAGAATATCAATAAAAGATATTAAACAAACAGCAGACTGAAGTAAAAACTTGTACAATACTTTAAAAACAAGTGCACCAAAATATTATTGATTATGATATTAAAATGTACAATTGCCCGGCAATTCTTTATCAAATATTATTAGTTATATATAAATACTTATTTACAGTTATAAAAATTGGTCTTCAACATAAAATTTAAGATATAAAAATGTATTTCTACATTTGTGATGTTCTCTTTACAGTAAATCCTTCTACACGTAGTAGATTTGATGGACAGTTACATACAATTTAAAATATAAAAATGTATGTGTACATTTGTTATGTTCTTTTTACAGTAAATCCTTCTACACGTAGTAGATTTGATGGACAGTTGACCAAATCACCAGTGCAGCAGGTTCCTCCCTCATCAAGTATCAGATCGGTATGAATCTAGTTTTATTACTAGTTCTTATGAATACAGCTTTAGTGAGATACAGACCACAATGTACACGTATGCAAGCTTTGTTTCAGTTCTGAAGGTCTATGAATAACAGGTCATTGAACTTGGACCAGTTCAATATAGGATAAGATTAGATTGTCTTTCTGCAAGTTATTCATAAAATGGTTTAGGAAAACCAAATAGCATGTATCAACAAGATCTTTTGGTTGTAGACCTTTGACTTTTTTCAAGTTATAAACGTCTATGATTGAAAGGTCTTAAATTGAAGCCCTAGGGTGCTTCTTTTTTTTTTGCAAACTTTGGATGTGCTTCTTTTCGAGATGGGCTTCTTTTTTAGGCTACTTTTGCCAAGTAAAGAGGGGGCTTGGGGGCTTCATTTCAAAATGAATGCTGTAAATTTTGTGGATTTGTACTGTAAAACAATAAATAAGGCCACTGTAACATCAATCTGTATCATAGAGGGCATTAACTGGCATTAAATCACCTAAACTACTGTATAAACCAAGATTATTTATTTTGTATTTTTAAATTAATGCACAGAGTATGTACTGTACTATTTCCGACAGAAGTCTATCTATCTTGAAAAGAAGCCCTGGACGTCTTGTCGAGGCTAATTTTGCAAACTAAAGAGGGGGCTTCAATTCGAGATAGGCTTCTTCTCAAGATTAAGCCCATTGGGCTTCAATTTGAGGTTTTACAGTATATGGTTTTGTGTGACGGGACATTACAGCATAACTCTATTTCTCCTTCAGAACACCAGGGGCGTCAGTCTGGAGAAATCTAAAAATAGGCAGCATGCTCCAAAAAAGAGTAGAGCTGCAAAAGATGATAGTATGTATAATCTCTACATTACTATTTCCACTTGAATATGAACTCAAACAATAGTTATGATAAAAGAAGTTTTTCTATTATGTATTTTAGTAATATGTAAAAACTTATATTAACTTCATTTATTACAAATGTAATCATGCATAATGATATATTTATAAATGTAAATTAAAAGTGATAAAATTGATAGTCATGTGTTTGTCATGGGAGATCCAATAGCAAGAATAGTAGTGTTCAAAGTAATATAAAGAGAAATGTAATGACTTGCAATAATGTTTGTTTATTATTTGTTACAGCTCTTTTTGATTTAGAAGGATTCAGTGAAGAGTGTGAACCTTTTTTTGAATCGGAAGATGACAGCAGTGTTGATGGTAAGTTACTCGTCAGCAATTAACAAAAAACACTCATTAAATAAATGAGGGACCACTTCATCCTCAATTAGTGGATTAGATTTCTTTGGTGTAAAAACACCAAGGATAATCCACAAGAAAAGACTTATTCCCAGTACATTGTTTTGGGTGGTAAATTTAAGCAGCTGTGCTAGACTTAATAATAATAATAATCTAAGAATTTGTAAAGCGTCAATTAAACGGCCGAGGTGCATTATCAAGGCGCTGTGCACATTAATGATGGCAAAGGTGAGTTTTAAGTAACTTTTTAAATGAAGCAACAGAAGAATGAATTCCAAAGTCTAGGTGCAGCAAAAGAAAAAGATTTATAGTCTATAGTTTTTAAGGATGTGCGGGGAACGGAGTGCAAAAAATTATCAGATGATCTTAGAGTGCGTCCAGGAACATAAATATTGGTAAGCTGATAAATATAGATAGGTTGCTTTAACAGAATGCTTTAAAAGTAAGTAGCAAGATTTTAAACTTAATGCGGGAATCAATGGGAAGCAAGCAGATGTCTTGCAGAACAGGTGTGATGTGAGATCAGCGTTATTATGTTATAATTCGTTCAGAGGAGTTTTGAAGCCCCATCAAGCAAGCCATCAAATTGGCCGTAACTTTGCCAGTTTTTCTAGATGGTTAACCTCCCTCACATGTTTCAGTACACACACAGCGCCTGCCACAAGTTCATCCAATAGAGCTTTGCTGCTCTCTCACACGGTTCAGTGCACACACAGCGGCTACAATAAGTTGAGCCAACTAAACTACACTGCACCCTCACATGGTTCAGTGCACATACAGCGGCTACCACAAGCTGATCCGTGCAAAAGAGCTTTGCTGCTCTCTCACACGGTTCAATGCACACACAGCAGCTACAATAAGTTGAGCCAACTAAACTACACTGCACCCTCACATGGTTCAGTGCACATACAGCGGCTACCACAAGCTGATCCGTGCAAAAGAGCTTTGCTGCTCTCTCACACGGTTCAGTGCACACACAGCGGCTACCACAAGCTGATCCGTGCAATAGAGCTTTGCTGCTCTCTCACACAGTTCAATGCACACACAGCGGCTACCACAAACTGATTCGTGCAACAGAGCTTTGCTGCTCTCTCACACAGTTCAATGCACACACAGTGGTTACCACAAGCTGATCTGTGCAATAGAGCTTTGCTGCTCTCTCACACGGTTCAGTGCATTCACGGTGGCTACCACAAGCTGATCCGTGGAATAGAGCTTTGCTGCTCTCTCACACGGTTCAGTGCACACACTGCGGCTACCACAAGCTGATTCATGCAGTAAAGCTTTGCTACATGGTTCAGTGCATTCACAGTGGCTACCTTAAGTTGAGCCAACAGAGCTTTGCTGCCCTCACTCGGTTTAGTACACACCCAGTGGTTACCATAAGTTAAGCCAACTTAATATGCTGCTCTCATTCTTTTTAAAATATATTCAATCATGTTTATTGCTCAGATAACTCTCTGTTGGATGAGGTGATGGACCAGCCACCTGTCATCAATAGAATTGAACATCAGTATGCTACTTCTGTACCGATTTCAATGCCAACATGGGGTAAAGAAAAACATCCATTCGAGGAGTTTGATGACAAGGTAACTGTTCCAAACACTTATGCTTTCTAGTTCAAGCTCATTTATTAGCTTTTACCAAAAAATACCCCATAAAACCTTGAATAGAAGCCCAGTGGATTTAATCTCGAGAAGGAGCCCATCTGTTAGTTTGCAAAAGTAGCCTTAAAAAAAAGCCCATCTCAAAACAAAGCGCATGGGCATCTTTTCAAAATAGCTTGAGCTTCTGTTTGAGATAGTACAGTACATGAGTTGTACATGAATTTCAAAGAAATAAAATAAATAAAAATCATGCTTGGTTTATACCATGTGTAGGTAATTAATTGCAAATAATATACAATCTATGTTACATATTGATGTTTCAGTGGCCCTATTTATTGTTTTATAGTAGTAATTCCCAAAATTTAGCATGCATTTTGAAAAGAAGCCACTCCCCCCTATTACTTCGCAAATTAGCCTGAAAAAGAAGTCCATCTCGAAAAAGAGCATTCAAAGTTAGAAAAAAAAAAAAAAAAAAAAAGCCCAGAGCTTCTATTCGAGGTTTTAGAGTATTCTGTTTTGCCCATAATGCCCATGATTGAATGAGACTGTTAAAAATGAACCAGTGCTTCTATTGGAGGTTTTAGAGTATTCTGTTTTGCCCATAATGCCCATGATTGAATGAGACTGTTAAAAATGAACCAGCATTTCTTCCCTTTCGTATATTGTTCTGGATCTGGATTGGTACTCCTCATCGCCCCTAAAGGAGTAAAGCGAAGAGGGGTGGTGGCACTGTAGCTTTTGTACTATGGATTCCTCAGATGGTCGATTATAGCGGTCTTGAACTTTTCTTTGTCAAATATTGATGTCATTTCCTTACGGATTTGATTCCAGTCTCATATACAGTAGTTCTCGGTATGAAAGAGAATCTGTAACACTCTGTAACATATCTGTAACGTATGTAATATATCTGTAATTTATACATATATGTTATTGCATTACATGTAGTGCCTCCCTTACTTTGTGCGCATCATAAATATTGATTGTGTTTTGATATTTGTAGGTGCCAATGCCTGGCCCTGACAGGATTGTTGCAAGTATGAGGGCCATGGCTGCCAGTGTTCATGATGGAACAGAAATGTTTGGTGACTTACCAAGACCAAGGTTAAATACTGCAGATACCAAGAACCGGCCTCGCTAAATTTTAATCCTTAAATATACTTGGTGCTAGTTAGTCATACCTGGTTTTATGATTATTTTTTTTTAGTTAGAGATGAAATTATACTTTTCCATTGGAAGTGTACATAAAATAGTATTTTATTGTTGATTTGCCTGTATTATTACTTTTTAAACATATGCATGTTTTAAGAAGCAATCCTAATCAGAAATGTTTTGAAATATATATGGTTTATTTTATCATGAAGATGCTTAATATAAGCTGTCAGGATAACCATTATACTATCTATTTAAATAATTAATAGTCAATGGTTTAAGATAATTGTTTTACAATCTTTTGAGAAATTAACATTCAATATAATATTGATTATTATTATGACTTAGTTTAAAAATGAAAATTAATTTAATAATGTTAAGGTTATCATTTTAGTATCAATGTTTAATTAGTGTTTCTAATGAGCATGGAACAGTGGCGGATTCAAGGGGGGCTCAGTCATCATAGGCCCCTTAATTCTTTCAAAATTGTAAATAATTGGAAAAAACCTGAAAGTTAGATTTTAAGTCTGAGAGTGCCATTTCTATCCTCCTAGAGGTGACACAATCGTTCTTATCTCAGCCCAAATGCCAGACCCTCCATCTGTCAAAGTTCCAGCCTGGGCCTCTTCTGTTTCAAATTCCTGGATCCGCCACTTTGGGTTTCATCATCAGGGAGGAGCTGTTCATACATATTTTGATATTCATTTGTTTAACTTTTAGATTCTATCATGCTTTTTGCAGTGACAAATACTATGGATGTGATATGACATCATGCCCACATATTGATGTGATATGACATTCCCACGTATTGATGTGATATGACATGCCCACTTATTGATGTGATATGATATAATTCCCACATATTGATGTGATATGACATCATGCCCACATATTGATGTGATATGACATCATTCCCACATATTGATGTGATATGACATCATTCCCACATATTGATGTGATATGACATCATGCCCACATAGTGATGTGATATGACATCATTCCCACATATTGATGTGATATGACATCATGCCCACATATTGATGTGATATGACATCATTCCCACATATTGATGTGATATGACATCATGCCCAAGTATGGGAAAATTCAACTGATTTTCACAGTAAATTGGTTATGGTGTTTATAACCCCCTCCCCCCACCATCCCCTTCCTAGTACCATATGTGAGCCTTGACCCTTAAAGTCTTTAATGGCTAAGATAATGGGTATTCTTGCATATTTTTTTTTACAAATAGGTTACTGGTAGGTACAGTAATGTTATTTTTGGAAGGGTTGTAGTAGTTATTTTTTATAAATAGATTTAGTTTAATTAGCTTATAGAAGTTGAAGCTGTATTATTTATGTGTTCTTGTGTACAGAAGCCCAACTAAGCTAAATAATTTAGTGGTCAGAGTTTTAATGAAGTTGTAATAAATAACAACAACAATAATAATAATAATAATTCTAGTGATGGCAACATTATGTACATTATTATTATTAATGGCTAAATAAAAAGCCTTTATTGTTAATGATAATTATAATATGTTGAAGTTTAAACAGCTGAACCATGTACCTTCAAATATGTGTTGTATTAAGAAAGAAAAATGGATATTTTCTGATAATGGCAGCTATTACGTGTGAGTGTGATTTATGAATAAGAAGGGATTGAATAATATACTGTGCAGCATTGCTATCAATATATATACTGTTCAGCATTGCTATCAATATATATACTGTGCGGCATTGCTATCAATATATATACTGTGCGGCATTGCTATGAATAATACATACTGTGCGGCATTGCTATCAATAAATGCTCATAAAAAACAGTTTATATGATCTGAAAGTTTATTTCTGTTCATGACGTATATAAGCATTTGTGGGACTGCGTGTGTGTAAAGTGCTTATTCCTGACCCTCTTCTCATTGGAGAATTACAGTGGCTCATATGCAAGGATTTACTGTAGTAAAAGACAAAGAAAACTTTCACAACTAACATATGCGAACTGACTTGGTGACTGCTTCCTATCCAGAAAAAAAAACAACATAATATAACATAAGCCTACACATGGTAATTAAACGAATAAACGCGAATGTATTACGTCGTGACACGAGAGAAAGGTTGAAGGTAGGTTTGAAAAATATAAAAAATAAAAATAATATATTGTCGTGTACAGTACTGTATTTCTCGAATTTTCATCTTAATACTGTAGGTGGCGCCCTATGGGTTTCACTGAAGATCGATTAATGCAACAAAAACAAAATGTCAGCCTTCATGAACGGAAATGTGCTCCGTACCCCACTTTTATTTTGTAAACAATCAAGTTGTTTCCATACTTTATATACACTTAAAAATTCACGGCATTTTATACGATCTATTTATATTCTGAATGACGAATCAAAGTTCAACATTAATTCTGGTAAGGTGACAATTTAATGTAGGCTAGGAGGCTAGTAGATAGGCCTAGCAATAGCCTAGTAGGCCTAGTCTGAGAGGCCTTGCTGGATGTCACAGCCAGGGGCCAATATCAACCATATAATATATGCTAGGCCACGTGCTTATAGGCCTAAGCCTCTGTCCCCATGGGTTTTTTGTTTTGTTTTGTTAGTTTATTTGTTTTTTTGGGGGTGTTTTTTTTTCTATAAAAGGGACAAAAACATTTTCTAGTGAAGCTTAGATACAATTCCCCTCTCTCCACTCAAGAAGGAGTCCCAGAGGCAGGCTAGACACTCTAGTCCTAGAGACTAGGCCTAGGCAATAATACTCATCATAAGTCATCATAGAATTAAACAAAATGTTTCTTTGTTTTAATTTTCAGGTTTTTGTGTTTCTTCAAGCAGTAGACTAAGGCATTTGCAGAAATATACAAGTAGGCCTACGCCTGATGCCAGTAATTTTAGACTGTTCTGTTCAAGTGCTACAGCTGCTGGTGACAAAACTGACACAGAGGAACTTAAAGGTACTACCTGGGCTATGTATTTTTGGAACTACCTGGTACACAATTTTAATTGACAAGACACTTACTTTACTACATCTTTACTCAACAATTGTTATTTGTGTTGTATAGAAACGTCCTACTGAACACTACACCAGTCCACATGGATGGAAAAATTATTAAAATATTATCACACGAGAGTAGAAAATGACTTTGAATAATCAGTAAAAACAAACTCATATTTAAATAGTTGTACAAATTATGGTTAAAATCGATGATTTTCTTACAGGTTTCGCCACAGTTCTTCTGAAGTATGTATTTTAGTAATATGTAAAAACTTAATATTAACTTCATTTATTACAAATGTAATCATGCATAATGATATATTTCTTTATAGACCTATCACAAAATCAAATATAACAATTCATCCTCATAATTTTTTTGTGTGAAACACAAAAAAAAAATCAAATGTCAGTCTTATTTTACATTTTTGTCAGTTTTAGGAATGTCTAAATTCAGTTAAACTAGCAATTTTGTATTATATTTATAAAACATACAGTATATAAAAATCAGATTTTTTTTCTGGGAATGGGGCTTTAAGTGTGTAGATAATGAATACTTATATTTTGGCTCCAGGAATGGGGCTTTAATTGTGTAGATAATGAATACTTATATTTTGGCTCCAGGAATGGGGCTTTAATTGTGTAGATAACGCATTGGTGTCGGCAGAAACATGTTTAACCATTACCTTATATAGGCTACATGCACTACATTATTGACTTATTTTAAAATATTCAGGATAATACCACATGGAAGCTAATGAACTTAAATCTTCTGAATCTATTCAATTTCAATCTATTTTATATTAATGCACTCTTCTTTAAATTATTCCTTTGCAGTACACTGAATTTTTTTTTAAACCAACAAATGTACAAGCAATAAATTAATTCATGAATTCTGAACTTTCTTAACAGAATTTTATTATAAATTTAACAAAAAACCTGTCTATCTAACATTAATACATTATTAAATATACTACAGTTTTAAATACTGGTTTTTTTTCTTTTTTTATATAGAATACTTCGGTTCATTACCTACCTTTTTTTATTTTTAGAATACTCTCTCAATATGAAACGTAGACTATGAATGTCATGGTCGTTTTTGCTGACACATCGGTGTATTAGAGATGAACGATGTGTGGTGTTTAGTAGGATCCATGTAGAAATTCCTTTGATTGATTTACTTTTAAAACAGCCTTGTGAAAAACACATTTAATTTGTGAGTAAGTGTTCCGTTTTCAAATAATCAAGTCATTATTATTTATTATTTCTTCATTTCCAAAGGTGAAACTGAAAATCATGAATTTCGATCAGAGACAAAGATGCTTCTTAAGATAGTGGCTCAGTCACTGTATTCAGAGAAAGAGGTCAGAGGTTGCCTTATTTTTACCATTGAAAACTTTATAGAAATAGATTTTAAGTTGTTACTATGTATACTGTCCCTAAAATGTACATTTCACACTTAGATGTTATGTAGATATTTCTTGGTTGATCTTACATATTTTCCAGATCTAGTTGTAACTTTATTTTATTGTCAACATATTTTTTGGTCCTCAATTTGAAGTTTTATTTCTTTTTATTGTTCATGAATGTACATTTTTTTCTTAGTTTTTTATATTTCTTACAGGTTTTCATTAGAGAAATTATTTCAAATGCCAGTGATGCCCTTCAAAAGCTACGATACTTACAACTGACCAGTAATGAACAAGTTGAAAGTCAAACACCACTTGAAATTCATATTCATACTGACTCTGATGCTGGGACCTTCACTATCCAGGTATGTGGAAACTTCCTAAAATTTATATTCACACAGACCCTGATGTTGGGATGTGGAGTATATAGGGGGATGTTAATTCCCCGTCCCCCACAAAATAGAAAAAAATAAAAAAATGTTTTTGAAGCAAAAATATTAGGCTCAAATAGCTAAAAATTACCATATTTTGAGAGCTAGTGCTTCACCGCCCTTACACTTGCCCCACCCTTGCTGACAATGGAAATATCCTGATTGTTTATTCTTCAGTGTTGGCCTGTATGTATTAATTCAAAACAGTTTCAAAACCTGTCTCTTTCCTGTAACAAAAAAATACCTAACTTGCTCTCTTATCACTGGACTACATTTTGCAGGATACAGGTGTTGGAATGACAAAAGAAGACTTGATTCAAAACCTTGGAACAATTGCAATGTCAGGCTCTAAGGTAATCATTTTTAAATTTACTTCAAAATTGACATCTGTAATACATTTTTTGTAAAAATTACCCTATCCTGAATTTTATCCTGACCCTGTGTGATGTTCTAGGTGGCTCTGCCTATCACTTGTGTATCTAAACCATTTGTTTAATTTTAGTCATTTTTAGAAAAGGTTGAGAGCAAATCATATGCAAGTGACATCATCGGGCAGTTTGGCGTTGGATTCTATTCAACTTTTATGGTTGGTGAATCTGTAGATGTCTTTACAAGATCTCACGAACAACCGACAAAAGGTTACAAATGGTCATCAGATGGGTATGTTACATTTAGCAATCATTAAACACTGATTTATAAAATGTTACATTTAGCAATCAGTGTTTAATTATATTGAATAGCTTCATTAGATAGTATAAAGTAAGTTAACATCATTATTACATTTTATGTGATATTTAGGTCACAAAAACAAAAGAAAAGAAAAAATAAAACTTAATACTAACAATGTTTGATTTTGCTTTTTAATATATTTCCTAAGATATTTTATTTTTTAATAGGCAGATTGTTCTTACATGCATTATTATTCTTATGATTTCAGTAGTGGAAAATATTCAATCACTGAAGCCACTGGAGTGGAGCTTGGGACAAAGATTGTTGTCAAACTCAAGAGTGATTGCTGGAAATATTCTGTTGAAAATGATGTCAAAGGTGAGCTTAATATTCAAATCAAAAATTACCAAATTATAATAATAATAATAATAATCTTTATTTTAATCTACACTTTTAAAACAGTGGCACACGAGAACGGTGTGTTCACAAAGATTGAACATTCAGCTTTATTCCTTAACAATTTTTTCACTTTATCTTTATTCAAAATCCTTTTTTAATGTCTCATGAAATGTGGCTCAGTTCAAGTTTATTCACAAAATAATGTGTTTTGAATAATGGCGTATATGCTTTGTCGAGCATAATACTAATTAATATTGTATTCAAGCTTAGCATGACAAGATCTTCTTTGAGGAAAATTGTAATTTAAATAAAATTATCTGTTGTATATTGCTCTATCGATCCTTTAGCATAGTCAAATATTCTTTATATGTTTAAATTTGTTTTGTTGTTTGATATCTAGAAATCATCAACAAGCATAACACTTTCCTGGGATTTCCAATTATTTGTTTTCTTTAGGTGTCGTTGACAGTGAGGATATACCACTGAATCTTAGCCGTGAAATTTTACAGGATAGCGCCCTCTTGAGGTAAGTGTAATCATTTTGTTCAGGTTTTTAAAAATTTCATTTGGCATGTGTGCCATCCTGAAAAAATGTTTTCAATAGCACCTCCAATACTACTTGCCAATACTATGTTGCTAGCAATTCTGGAAATTGTTGTACATAATGCTATTTGCTGTACTTTTCCAAAATAACAGTATTCTTTATCAATGTAGTTCAAGTTACATTACGATTATTTTTTTTTAAACCAGAAAATTGAATAGGGTACTGACTGCTCGGATTGTCAAATTCTTGGTCGACAACTCTGTTAAGCATCCATCAAGCTGTCTCTTATACACATCTCTCCCATCAATATTCAAAGTGTTTTTTACATCCCAGAAAGGCCACCAGCAATGTGGGAATACAGTCAGGACTATAAAAGTGGAATTGCCCTTTATTGCAGGAAGGTTTTGATACAGTCAAAGGCAGACAACATTCTCCCAAAGTGGCTGCGTTTTATTACAGGTACATGCTTTAAAATATGATAAGGTTAGAATTGGCGCGACACAAGTTTTAATATTTTGTTAAATTTGTAACACATTCATTCAAAAATGCAGACAAAACCTTCACTCAAGAGCACAAATGGGCCCAGCACCAGCCACTTTCCTGGAACAAGTCGTAATGACTTGATGGACCAGTCATGGGGTGTGGTCGTGGGAGACTTAGGTCGCGTTCTCTCATGCTGCACTTGAGAATGTTGTCGTTTGAGAGCTGAAAAGTACTATTCAACAATTTTTTTTATTCAACTTATAAGGCAAGAACAGAACAGGTGAACAAGCACCTCTAGAGAGCCGTCTTACCACCGGAGAAAAATGAATAAATAAATAATCAAATAAATGTAAAAAAGATAAGGATTCAATTAGAAAAAAAAAAAAAAAAATCAGCAACAGCCAGAACAGTGACAAAATGAGATCCAAGTGCAAAAATTATCAGGAAAAAAATAAGATTTCAATTTAGAGTTGTAATTGTTAAATAGTCACTCATCAAACATTGTAGTCATTTTCATCCCATGTGACCTGTATTCAATCAATCAAATTAATAGAATGTATAGGTGTGTAGTCAATGATTAACACACCCAGCAGCATATATCCATTAATTATGATTTGTTTTCTTTTAGGTGTCGTTGACAGTGAGGATATACCACTGAATCTTAGCCGTGAAATTTTACAGGATAGCGCCCTCTTGAGGTAAGTGTAATAATTTTGTTCAGGTTTTTTAAAATTTCATTTGGCATGTGTGCCATGTTTTCAATAGCACCTCCAATACTACTTGCCAATACTATGTTGCTAGCAATTCTGGAAATTGTTGTACATAATGCTATTTGCTGTACTTTTCCAAAATAACAGTATTCTTTATCAATGTAGTTCAAGTTACATTACGATTATTTTTTTTTAAACCAGAAAATTGAATAGGGTACTGACTGCTCGGATTGTCAAATTCTTGGTCGACAACTCTGTTAAGCATCCATCAAGTTATGATTCTTTTTTTGATGATTATGGAACATTTTTACGAGAAGGAATCGTTTCTTCCGGCGATCAAATTGAAAAGGTATGCAAAAAAAAAAAAAAAAAGAGGCCAAAAAAAAAATTGTTGTGTTGCCCTTAAATGGAAAAAGCTGGTAGGCACCACAATAAAACAATGCAAGCTTGCCAAAAAAAAGTATTCAATGTAATGACAGAATAAATACTAACCAAGTGTATATTGAAATAAATTTAACAAAAATATGTCAGTTTAAAGGAAGATTTATTTGGCTTCGAAACATAAAATAATAATGTGTATCCAATCCGCACGATTGCGCATGGGCAGTTCGAGCAAAACCATACTGTAGCTATGGAAATTGTCCAACCAAGCGCCCTCTATGTAATACAATCGAAGTAAACTTTGAGAAAAAAAAGAGAAAAATATTTTGTTTATGGTTGGCCTAAAACTGTAACGGAGCCGAAAATGTCTAGCCATGTTCCGGTTTCAAAGCCATGGCTAGAATTATGCTTGTTTTTATTTATTGTCCAGTCTACCGTAAGGTAATGAATATGATTTTTTATTCAAGCAACCACTAGTTGTACAGTAGTAGTAAAGAATAGATTAGCTCAGGCCTAGGCCTAGATCTGATTGTGGCTTGACATCTCAGAGATCTGATGTTGTGTGCATGTATCGTCTTCGCTCTCGGTTCTCAAAATTATGCCTTCTATTTTACCGATTTTACGCATACATATACTGTAATATGGCCCGATTTTGATAAAAATACATGTCTGTTTTATATTTTATGTTCTAAATTTTAATTTCGGAAGGTATTTCTCAAATTTGTACTTGAACAAAATTTGAAAAAAATTTTTTTTTAAATGCCAACCCGATATTTTGGGAAAAATTGCGGTCGGTCGCGAAGGGCAACACGACATTTTTTTTTTTTGCTTAATCATGTCTTGCAATGTCATGTATCATAAATGATCAAAATTTTTAATCTCATCTGTATTACATTCAACATGATATCGGCTTCTTCTTCACAATTACCGTCCTCATCGTCATTATCATCATCAACGATCATCACCACCATCCTCATTACAACCATCCTCATCACCACCCTTATCATCACCATCATAATCCTCTTCATGAATATCATCATCACCATCCTCATCCTTAACATCTCCACTATCATCATCATCATCTTTATCATGATCATCCTTATTCATCCTCACCACTACCATCATCACCATCCTCATCACTGCCATCATCACCATCCTTATCACTGCCATCATCACCATCCTCATCACTACCATCATCACCACCACCACTATCATGATCCTCCTCATCATGATCATCCTTATTCATCCTCACCACTACCATCATCACCATCCTCATCACTGCCATCATCACCATCCTCATCACTATCATCACCACCACCACCACTATCATGATCCTCCTCATCATGATCATCATCACCACTACCATCACTACCATCTTCATCACCATCATAATCCTTCTCATCATGAACATTATCATCATCATCCTCATTAACATCGTCATCGTCATCTCCACTATCATCATCATCATAGTCAATGGTCATCATCATCATATTCATCGTAATAATCCTCATCATCATCACTATCATCGTTTACCATCCTCATCGCCATCATCATTATCCTTGATTATCATCTTCACTATCATCACCCTCCTCATCATCATCCTCATTCTTTTGATTTTTTTTGGTGATCTGTGCAACACAGTCTCACTTAACAGACAACTGATTATTAAGTAGATGGCATACTGTACTACTGTTTACTAGATCTGGATATTATATTGCAGTTGTTGGTGTTTTTTCTGTTGTTGTTTTCCTTGTTGTTTCTGTTGCTGATTTTCACACCTGTATTATGTTTTTTCAGGAAGAGATTGCGAAACTGCTTCGTTATGAATCTAGTAATTTGGATGCCGGGGTAAGATGCAGCCTCCAGGACTACTGCAGCCGCATGAAAGCAGGCCAGAGGAGCATTTACTTCCTCACTGCTCCAAAGTAATATCTCATTATCCTTCCATCATCATCTGGCACTGTGTTCATTTAATTTATTTATATGCTTATAAAAATAGAAAATAACAATTTCAGACAAGCATTAACATAACAATGGTCATGGACATCTAGAGAAAAAGATTAAAAATAACTCATAACTTTCTAAACATTAATTATAATGCACAGAATGGGTTTGCGGTTATATGTATTGTGGAATAAGTGTTTCTTTAAAAGACAGATGGGAAACGCCAATAGATCTCAAGCCGAGAGAGGATGAAGTATAATGAATGGTGCAAATTCTCTTTATTTATTTTCAATAACACTGACTTTGCATTAACTTTTCAGTCAGCGATTTTATGAACATCGCATAATATTCACTACATATTGTTAATATACAGATATTTTTTTATGGCAGTGAATATTATTTCATTTAGCATGATTTTTTAAATATAATTTTGAAAAGAGATGCCACCCAATCAGATTATATGTTTTTTTGAAAATTGGGAACACTGCTATTTCTGTGTGGAAGCTGAATATCAAAATATTTATTTGTTTTTTTATTTCCTTTAAATTTTTAAATTCCCAGTTATCCATTAATGTTGCCAGGTTGTCTAGCAATAGTAATGATTTTGTGCGGAGTAGGGAACAGTGAAAATCATGGATATCATACTGTGTCTTAGGTACATAGTTGGAAAAGTAGTACATCAGATATATTGGGTTTTAATTACCGGTATACAGTAATTTGGTGGATTTTTATCCTTTCTTCTATTTACCGTAATGTTGTGATTTCAGTCGAGAGCTAGCAGAAAGCTCACCATACTACCAGGGAATGAAGTCACTTGGTATGGAAGTTCTGTTTTGCTTTGATGAGTATGATGAACTGGTTATGCTGCAGCTGAGAGAGTTTGACAAGAAAGTGTTAACCTCTGCTGAGAATGAATTGCTTGCCAGATCCAACACAGAAACAGATGAAAAGCAAGGTAATTAATTACTCTTTAATTAGTCTTTCATTTTGTTAAAAGTAAACTTTCAACAAATATAGGTAAAAAAACTCATGATTATTACAAAATATTTGAAAACTAAGTCAATAGCATGGACCTCAATTCAATGATGTTGACAAAAATTAATTGATAATAATCAATGATTTCTTTGTAGAAAACACTTTGCCAGTTTATAGGGATATTTCCAACCTCACTATTAAAAGACTTTCCTAATATTTTGCTCTATGTGTATTTTGTTTTAATGTGTCAAAGTAAAAAATGGACTTTGTGGAATTTAATGTTGCAGTACATGTGAATATGTATTTTGTTTTTTATAAGTATGTGTAAAATCTGGGACATTAAATGAGGATTTATTGCAATTTTTTATCTCTAGAAGATGGAGGTTTGTCTGTGGAATCAACAGACTCACTGATCATGTATCTAAAAGAGGTTTTAGGCAGCAAGGTCTTAGATGTTAAGGTAAAGACTACACAATTTTTAATATTCAAAATTAGGAATAGAATTGAGCAATTGTTTTACCCTAAACAGGAAGCTCCTTCAATTTTGTATTTGATAATTTCAGTGAGTGTCAGATATTTCATATTTACATTTAATTTTTGTATGCCGTGACTAGAGATATGGTACCATATATCTACTTCAATTTGCTAAAGGTACGGTAAATGGCATTACACCACCATCACCTAATGAAGAGCCGGAATTGCAGATTGCCCACACCACAGTGTGAGGTGAGCAGCGTGATGTGTGACTAGCGATGAATGATATAAAATAGCACATGATTGGCCAGGCAAGAGTACAGTATTTTCTTAATACTGTCATCGATAAATAGGTGCAAGGGTTCCACTCAGTATTATAAG